TTTAGATGGAAGAAAATACAAAAAAGCTTTTGGATCACAGGCTAGAACACAGGTACTCACCTCCTTTTCCTCCAATAAAATTATTAGCCTAATGTTCTCTTTGGCCCAATTAGACTTTAATCACCTTGTACAAAAGGAAAAGCGGATTTTTAGGGGTTGGAGTTTTTTTAAAAGAGAGATCAACAAAACCTCTTCCTCCTCACCCCTTTGTGTTTCTGAACAAAAGGGAGAGTCACCACAGGGTTTTGGTTTGAATCCAATCCCATAGGTGTGCCTGAGGTGTGGTTTGAACATGCCTTTGGACAGCTGAATGCCTAATCTACAGATTGCCTAATTTATGAACAGTAAACACATTTAGATGCCAAGATGCTCAGTTGTGACAAGATTATGGAAGATCTGAGTAAGAACAAAACTTTAAGGTGTTTGAAAAACTTTACTAGTGAAAACCTAGAGGTCTGTAAAATTTAGCCAACACATGGCTACAATTTTAATTGCGGCTAGACACCCAAAATTCATCTAAATCACAGTTTTGACTCCTCTATAGTATTTTATGGACCTGGCCATATACCAAAATAACATACATCAGAAACTTTCTCAGAGATAACAGCAAACATACTTTTTAATGGAAATCTAAAAGGACCTCTATAGAAGAACAAGACCACTTATATTTCTTTAAAAAATACACTTTAAATTGATCTGCCTTACTCCAGGAACTGTTCTCTTCTGTTTCAACAGAAGCATATCAGTCTAGCACCATTTATCTTCTGGTACAAGGCTATCATTATGGGTAAAATGATATTAGCTTCAAAACCGAAGCTTTCTCACGTACTTTTAAGCCACATTACACACGTACTTTCAAGTAGCCATATTTATGCCTAATTTGGCAAAATTTTTATCATGAAGATGAGGAATGCTCATAGTATCTACGAAGCTTCATAAGCTTCGCTCTCTAGATATGTCTTTATCTGTCTTGAATCTCATGGGTATATCTAATTTAATATTAATACTACTAATGATTATTTAATAACATACTCAGCAATGCTCCTCGGAATGTCAGTGCAGAATAAGAAAATTAATTCAGTGATTTTAATGACAAAACGCAGCAGATGGAAAGTCCAAAGTGTGCAACGCTAAACTGCTGAAAGAATCTAAGAAGCCTTGTTGCTTCCACATAATAATATGACAACCACAGAGCACCGAAACTTTTTACATATATGATTATACATTCTGAACGCGGCTATAATTAAGAATTTATACTATACATAAAGAGTATGGTAAGAGAATATTAAGACTATAAAATTAAACACTCAGGCATGAGGTATGCCAAAATTAAAGTGGCTTTTCCATTACAAAGGAATTCTGTGGCAGCAGTAGGGGTTGAGAATTCAGTCCTTCAGGGCAGCACATAGCTGCATTAACCATGAGTCTCCTTCCTCTTCCGTGATTTTGCATTTCACATCTTTAACTCCTACAACAAATGGGGGAATATGCAACAGTTTCAAATTATTACCGAACCCCATTACCCGAGTTAACAAAATAACCACCCGCAATAGTAAGTTGTTTTCCCCAGGTGGACCACCCACAGAGGCAAGTGAGGTATCTTCCCCATGGATATAGACATATTTGCTTGTGCCAGAGTTACATTGAGACACCGGAATCTTTCATTTCAGACTCTGCTGGGTGACTGAAGGTGCCCTTCCTACAGCCCTTTTTATTAAGAAAGACCACTAAGTTCAAAATAACAATGCCAACACTACTACTACTAATTCAGTATTACTAGAAGATGAGAGAGAGAGTTGAATGGTTTGGCCACTGCCTGCTTGTGGTCTCACAGATGTTTTGGGGTCTTTTTCCTCCCCTCCAGAGATAAAGCTACCTTAAAACAGCTACTGCTCTCCCAGCAGCCTGGCGACTGTCTGCTCTTCTTGTGCCACCCCCTTCAGTGGTGCCTGTATAGCTTTCTACAGGATGAACCAGCTCAATTAAACACTGAAAGGTTAAAAATACTTTGCAAAATAAATAAATAGAAGGTAAAAATGGCAGGAACAAATACTACTGTCTTTGATACATAACCATCTACTGATACCATCTATCCTCAGTAACATTTCTAGATTTGCTTTCTCTTCTGGCCTGGACAATTTCTAGCATTCATATGGAAACTAGTACTTAGGCTGAAACACTAAAATGCACTTTTCTTTACTTCAAACATCTACCAAAGTCTTGTCCTCAAGAAAAACTGACTCATTACAATGTGATGAAAAGGAAGGCACCTTAGCTGTAATTCTGCTCCTTCTTAATTATACTGTGTGGTTTGTATTAAAAACTGTATTAGGGCACAAATTTTCTATTGTAAGAGAAGAACTATCCATATTCTTCAATCTACAATATTAGGCTGCAGCTGTGAAGCTTCAGACAGCAAATTATACGTATCTCCTGAAGGGTTGTATAGCTAAAAGAGGAGTTGTTTTCAAATGATGAAATTACCTACAGAAGAAAATTGCATTTATTCACAACCGTTTTCAACACAAGTCTATTATTTTTAGGTTGGTTGGTTTGTTTTTTGTTGTGCTTTTTTTTTTTTAATCAAAACTTTTCAAGTTGATAGAAACATTTTATATAAAGAACACATATTTTATATATGTGGGAAGGGTGGAGGTCAGTATCTCTACTACTACTTTATATCCTCAACTTTTTGCACAAATTCAGAATAGGGCCAAAAAATAGTAAAAGCCCAAAGCTCTGTGAAAGCAGCAATTTCTTTAGCAAGACCAATCCATCCATGAAGATTCATGACTTCATTGAAATTCTACACTAACAAGATAATTAACCAACATTACAAATCAAATTTAAAGTAATTACCACTCAGTTTTTAAATTGCTGAGTACAAAAAGAGTACAATTAGCTACAACAGTTTATGGGGTCCTTAGAACATTATTAAAGAAAACACTCTCAGCTTTCCTCGCATCCTTCTATTTTACCTACGTGTGTTAAACTTTTCTATGTAAGAACATGAAGTGGAAGAAATAAAGAACAAGACATGGCTGAATGTCATCTGAAACTATTAGATATCAACCCAGGAGTTCTTTCTTTCCTGCTAGGACCGTTTCTTAAGAAGAGGTAACTCTTGCCTTACCAACAAAATTCTCAGACCTTAAAAACACTAGCACCCACATTCAACCAAAAAATCCCAACCCAAGCATGCAATGTTTGGTAATCTAAAAGAAGCGTCTGTAACACTTTTGAGAAAGTACCTAAAATGGATATATGTGAAAATCAGTAGTTTATTAACAAAAAAAAAAAAAAAAAAAAAAAAAAAGGCAGAGTTATTTGTCAAGTAGAATTCATCTATTATAACAATCAAATAGCATCTAATTTTAAGTAACAGGCTAAAATCCACAGATATTCTTAGGCAAAATCAACTTTATTCCTGTAAAACTGAACAGTATGAAACAAGTGCAACTGCTCACATTGAACTTTGCCAGGACTACCACAGTCAAGGTGTATTTCCCAAGTACTTCTTTCTCTGTAGTATTTGGTTAAACAATCTTTTTGCCTTCTGGCATACCTGTCACCTTGAGAAATGATCTAGGTTAAATATAACCACATCTAAAAAAAAAAAAAAAAAAAAAAAAAAGGTAGTTAATTTTAACCTGGATCATTTCCCCAACCCAGTTACAGGACAGGGTTCCATGAACCGTTGTGTTGGCACAGCTGAGGGGGGCAGCAAAGAGGTGAGAGCTGGCAGCAAGTAACAGACAGGCCTGTTTAAGTCAACACTGCCACCGAAACCACTGCTTGTCAAACTATGTCATCAAAAAAAATACTTACTTTAAGGATTTAGAGGATCAGGATCTCTGATCAGCTACTCTGCCTCTACATGCTGCTTCATATCCCAGTGAGAACTTTATCTGACTTTCTTGTGCCTCTTAGTAGGTCAACTTTTAACACGTACATGAAAACAACAGCCTTATAAAAATCTCACTGCAAATACGCTTGATTAGTTTGCAAGCACTCGTCCTCATAAAAAACACAGTTCAAATTTATATGCAGGCCCTAAGTACCAGAAATTTGAAAGCGAAGCCAACCAAAAAAAAAAAAAAACAAAACCAAAATCTACCTTACCAGAAACACAAAAATTAAGCACCACAGATTTCCAGTTCCTCACCGGTCATATTTCACACGTGCACAGTATTTGACACACTGATTTAAACAATGTACCTAAGTCGGGAGAGGACCGGGGGCTCCCGAGAAATCCCCGCGCATGCAGGCACCACAATAAAGTTGTGAGAGGATAAACACATAAATAAATAAATAAATAAAAACAAGCCCACGAAGCGACGTTCTCAACCCTGTAACTCTGCGGCTCCAGTCCACCTGCCGCAGGGAGGTCCCGTGTCCCCCTCCCCCCCGCCAAGGCGGCCCGCCATGGCCCAGCCGCCGCCGCCGCGTAAACATACGCGCCCCCACTCACCGCGCTGCGCGGAACCGCCGCGGAAAACCTTTCCCACGCGTGAGGCGACGGCGGCGGCCGAGCGATCCCCTCCGGCACCGACGAGACCAGCCGCCCCACGGAGGGGACCGGCGGCGGACGCGCTCCAGGGAGGCGGCGGGGGATGCCGGGGAGTCCCGCGGCCGCCCCGCCTGCGCTTAGCCCGGGCGGCGGGGGCGGGAGCCGGGCCGGGCGGGCGCCGGGCCAGGCGGGCAGGGCTCCAAACGTGCCCGGGAGTTGTGACAGGAGCAAAGTGGGTCACCGGGCCTAGCGGCTGCCCCGCGAGCGCCCCCCGCCCCCGCCGGCGGCCGCCCCCGCCCGCGCCCTGCCCAAGGGCAGCCGCTGCCCTCCCGGCGCGCCGCCGCTGCCCTGACGGCCGGGCACCCTCCGGCGCTGTCAAACTTCAACGGCTCCGCTCCGCGCCGTCACCGTTCCACCCCCTCCGCCTTCTCCTTGCCGCCGCCGGGCCCGGCGGAACCACCCGCCCCGCCCCGCCGCGCTCACCCCTTACCCGGCCGCCGCACGGCCGCTGCCCGCCCAGCCTCTCTCGGCGAGAGCCGCTCCGCGCCGCTGCCCGCAGCTCCGAGCCCGCCGCCGCCACACAGCCTCCTCCAGCGGCAGCACCAGCACCCGGGCCCGGCAGTTTTTCCCTTTCCCCCCCCCCCCCCAACTCCCTCCTCCTTCTCCTCCTCCTCCTCCTCCTCCCGCCGTCGCCACCGCGCCTGCGCCGCCGAGCCCTCCGCCGGCAGCCGCGGCGCCTCGCGCCACCGCGCGTGCGCCCGGGCTCACTGCAACCCGGCGGAGCCGCCGCGCATGCGCATGCGCAGCCTGGAGGCGGTGACTGTAGAGGTGAGTTTCCCCCCCCTCCCCGCTCGCCACCCGCCTTATCACGCATGCGCACCCTCCCTCCCCGGGCGGGGGGGGAGCCGGGCTGGGGGCGGGGGGCGCTCGCGCAGGCGCAGTGGGCGCCGCGCCTCCCTGACTTCGGCTCACCTCGCCTCGCCTCACCTCATCCCGCTCCATGAGGAAATGGCGGCAGCTGCGCCGCTGAGCGGGGCGCGGGGTCGTGTCCGAATGCCTCGGGACCGGGGAAGCCCGATTCGGCGGAACCCAGCAGGGTCGCGTCTCCGGTTCGGAGCGTCGGGGCTCGCCTGGTCGCTGGGTTGACGGTAGACGGGATGGGATACGGGGAGCGGGGATGGTGCCCGTGCCCGTTGCCCGGCCGCGATGCCGCCTTGCGGAACGCCCCGGGTGGCCCGAGGCCCGGAGCGGCAGCCGCCGCTGCCAGGTGTGTGGCTGCGGGGCTGGTTCCGCAGGCGGGCGCCGAGCCCTCCGAAAGGGACCCGCTGAACGGAGGCGCTTCCCTCCCGAGACAGTTAAACCCTGGTACAAAGCGCCGTTCCGGGCAGTGCCTGAACGTGTGACACGGTTCCCGGTCATAGGTTCGTCCCCAGAGGGGAACAAGCAGCATCCCGCATGCTCTCAGGGAACAGACGCGCCACCACGAGTTATTTAAGGATACAAGCTACCCGTCCGGGCGGTGGTTTCTTTGATCGAGGTGTATAAAGGGGTAGAACTTAACGGAATGGCAGAGAACAGAGCTGACCATCTCGGTCATTTTGGCTGTGCACAATGCTTTTAATATCAGTTTCATAGTCTTACCTTGCGTTAAAAATAAGAATTTGCCATAGCTGAGTTTAAAATCTTAACACCTAATAAAATCCTGCAACTTTAAAATACTGCACTAATACGGCACAGTTTGTACAATTTGTATTGTACGGTACTAACGCTGGCTGTTGGGGTCTGGGAGATTTCTGGACCACCGAACTGAAGGAAGGCTCACCACAGGTAAGTTTCTTCCTTTCTGACTGAAAAGCAGCAATTTAAGTCCATTCTTCTCATTTTATAATCCTTACAGTTTGTTGGTCTGGGGTTTTTTTGCATGGCTGCAAGGTAAAAGAATAATTGTGAACCTGATAAACTGAAGAGCCCTGTATGAGATTGAAGTATCTTTGTTAGGCAGGCAGACTACACTGTGATGAGGTGTAGATTTGTTCAGAAAATGTATCATTTCAGGACAGGAAAACAGCTGCAGTAGGAGTTTGCAGGACCATCTCTGATAATAAAACTTAGCGTTCTTTCATTTGTGCATTGATAAAGCTTATAAAAACTGTAAGATGTGCCTGTATTACTGATTTTGCTGAGAAAGTTGTGAAACAGCCAAGCTAATAAATACAAACAGATCAATCCGATCTCGGAGTTAGGGAGATGACTAACTGATGCTGCAGTCTTTACATACAACTGTAACGGATTCCAGCCATACTGCCTACTGCAGGAGTGGCATATGCGTAAACGTTCAGTGATTACGTCAGCATAAACCTCTTCTGCGTGCAGCAGAACATAGCAGCAAACTGTTTTCTGTAAAATAAAACATTGCTCAGTGGTAACAGTATGTAAATATTGCCAGTTTTCTTTCTCGGTAACAAGGATGTTTATTTTTCTGTTATTCTTCTAAATAGCAATATATCAAAAAATGTAATTACAAATTTGTATCTATAGAAGCTTAATTAGTGTTTGTGTCTGGAATGAAGTAAGGAACTTAACTTGGTTGCAAAATCTCATGGATCTTTTGGGATTACTTTTCAGGTACATCAGTTTCCCCATTTGATTCACCTTGTGACCAAAGTCTTATGCAAAGTTATTGTAGGGACAGGAACTGCTGCTAAAGAGTTAACTACGAGCTCAGTTTTTCCACTGGAAGCATTCTGAAAAGCATTAGTAAACCCACTTATTTTTGTTACTTATTGATTCATAATACTCTGTTTCTAGCTTTCAGTTGAGCAAAATGTGATATAAACAAAACTAAACATTTAATTACTTATGGAAAAGATAATGCTTCTATGATAAAATGTAGTAAAAGTAATAGGATACATCAGGAATGGAAAATCCAGGAGAAAATGTAGGAATATTTTCAACAAAAATGCACAATTACCAGAATTAGAATATGGCCAAGAAACTAGGAGGCTAAAAATAGCATCAAGCTGTATGTATCAAACTTGCCACAGGATCTTTAGTAAGGAGTAGTAGTTCTTCAGAAAAACAAAGTAGAGCTACTGTACTGCCTCTCTTCACACCTTGTTTGTATGGGAGCGTTAACACCTACCTACTGCAGCGTGGCAGTAACAATTACTCTGTGGCTTGCACATCCTACATTCTGGGATTTGACAAGATCAAAGCAGCTGTGGAGATGACACACATTTGCATTTTCTGCCGATGTTATGGCTTTACCAAGGTCATTTTTTAAATGCTGCTTCTCTTCTGAAAGTGTTTTAAAGGCTCCTGAAGGAACAGGAATGGAAGCTTGAAACAGTGTGGTGGTTTTACAAAACTATTTTCCACCTAGAAATACTGTTTTTCTGGCTCTTATTGTCAATGTGAGTTTGCTCTGGTCTGTAATGAGTTCTGCTTCACTCACAAAGGTTATACAAGAGCCAACATATTTTTCAGACACTATCAAATTATGAGCAGCAAATCTTCTGTGAATTATTAAATGATGGAACTAGACTGGGCCAGAAATGCAGAAATTTCATTTGCACTTCCATTAACTGTAGCCATGTTTCCTACAGAACTGCCATTGCCCTCTTGTGCATAATACACTTCAGAGCCATAGAATAATAACCTGCTCAGAATGTTCCTTTTTGGTCCTCACTGGCTTATTCCAAAGAGGATCTGTTTGACGAAGCTGATTTTGAAACTAGATTTCACATCATTCCAGAATACTAAAAATCAGTGGATTTAACAAAGATGCTGTCTTGAAACCCTGTCACAATCTACACAGTCCTTGTAAAGCAAGGCTAACATTCATGCTTAGATGCTTTTCTTACAAACAGTGTAACTGACCAAGAACCATCTGCTTTTAACCTGCAGCTTCCCTTGGATTTCTACTTGTGCTTTATCCCATGATAGCTGTAATCATGATCACATGGTCGCTTCACTTGGATGAAATAAAGGTCACCAGAGGGGAGGTTTGGCCCTTTCCTGTCACATCTAGTGGCATATGCCTCTTACTTCCAGTGTGACACTAGCACTTGTACAGTTGCGTATTCTGCTCGTGTACTTCATGGCAGCCACAGTAGCAGGAGAGACGTTCACTGCTCAGAGGAAACAGGTGGTAGTACTCTTACAGCAGCCACCACTGATAGTTACCCAAAGTGACTGTAGAATCATACCTAAAATCACTGATGACCTATTTACATTTAAAACTACTAGTTAGCTTTCTAGTTTGAAGTGGCAGATAATGGCAGATAAGCCATTATCTCTGAAATGCATCTACTAGTCATCCCTCTGAATCTGCAAAATAAGTTTCTAGAAGTGGTGTCTGCCACTGGGTATCTACTAATAGAACAGCTGTATCCTACTGGGTGAAAAAAAAATGGCTAATGTTAATTTTCTTGTTCTTAGGTATTTATTTGTTAAGTGAACTGTTTCTGTTTAATTTTTCCTTCTGCAACCTGATGCTATGAACTATGTCAGTTGTATATAACTAAATCTTTATTAGCACAGTGAGATTGGGGGGTTTTATGATGAGTCACTGGAAAGATAACATTAATACTATACAATTTGATTCACTACTCAAATAAAAATGCTGAATCAGGAGCATGGTCTCGTCATTCACTCATGTAGTTTTGCTACAAATGTAGTGTAAACTATTTTGTTAAGGATATACTTATTTTTCTTAGGAAAGAATAACGGATCCAACTGTCAGTATTCTAAAATAGTGGGAAGATTATCCTTGACACTGGATAAAATTCTTGAGCACCTGTCAAACAAACAGAAATGTTAGTCAATGGATTCAGGGCCAAATCCTGATTTTATATTACTATAAACATCATTGTCTTTCAGTCAGCTTTTCAGTGGGGGGAACTGAGACGGTACTTAGCCCAGAGTTCCACTACAGTCATTTCACTAATAATTAAAAGTGTCTTCACTCATGCTGGCTAAAAGGAGGAAGAAAGTATGGATTAGAGACCACCAGCTAAAACCTGCCCCCTCCCATTCCATTTAAGTAGCGTTTGTATGAAATGCAGAATCCATGCTCTCAGTGTCAGTGACAGCCATCTACAAGTATCTAAAGGTAAGTATGGCTTTCATTTACTACATCTATTTTCTTCTACAAACCAAACCCAAAAACTATACACATGGAAGAAAAATGGCTTTTTTTTCTTATAATTGTTTCAGAGTTAACAAAAGAGTGAAAAACTATTTGAGCTAATTTATGTCAGAACAGATGATCTGCATTAAAATTTTCTCAAGCAATACGTGGTTTCATTACATCCCTGCTTTTTGTATTAGTGTCTTCACGAGCAGAAATATTTTGTACTGACAGTGTAATGTCCTTTTTGGGGTTTTCTTTTAAGTCGGTTTCTATTGCTCCAACTTCTGCTTGTTTTCATTCAAGCTCTGTAAAAACAAATTACAATTTATTCTGATAATTGCAATAAATTCTCACTTAAGAGGAAAAGGACATTTATTAAGAGCAAGGCCCATCTCAACAACAACAGAAAACGGCCATCCTTGCGACAACCCAACTTTATCTCAGCAAAATAGCTGTGAAATTGCAAAATATCCATGCTTATCCGATATTCTTACAATAGAATTACATAAATTAATTCTTTGCTTTATGTAGACTTCTTTCCCACAAAAATCATCAAAAACATTTTCCTCCTTTAAGCAGTGATCTTTAGATCTAACTGTTACAAACAAAATTTTCTGTAGCGTAAATTATTTAAAGATATTTTTCCTACCTTCCACTTTAAGAGATATTCTCCCACATTCAGCTACTCCAACGAACCTGCCTTTTATTTCACCAGTTTTATATACAAGTATGGTGAGTAAACATCTGTCATGGTAATACTGAATGCAGCTGTTTACAATGGCTTTGAGAAACCGGACTTCTGGAAACTTTCTGGCTAGCAGGCTGAGATGGTTGTTAAGCAGTAAACACCCTGGGATGCTCGAAGAGTAAGTATGATGACACTTCCGGTGTAAATGATTTGTAAAATAAGTTATTGAAAATAAAGCCTTGAAGTCTTTGCACCACAAATTTTGTTTAGCTGCTTCTAAGACCACTGTGGTTTAAAGAGCTGTCCAAGTAAAAACACGTAATAGACACAGTCTACAAAATATGTCAGTAAAGCTATCATGCTTCAAGCATTGTGCCTCAATTTTCTTCTCCACCAAGAAGCTTGTTTTGTAGAGTTTAAATGAGATGTTTTTAATATGTAATATACATTTGACTTGAATTTATTTGAACTGGCTTTCAGTGTAACATTTAATTATTTATTCTTTTTGTAAAATCTGAGTAATGTCAGGGAAACCTTTGTATAGTCGTATTACCACTATAGGCCTGTTCATTACTTTCATAGCTACTATTTGCAATACAATCACTATATTAACCGCAGTAAAGAAAACACACCAATGGGGGTTTTTTTGTTCCCCTCCAGCCCGTTAACCTTTTAGAAGTTAGGATCTTTGTTGTATCTGACTGAAGTTAAACATGGTTTAGCCTATGGACAAGTTCCAGCAGCACCCTCTCGTGGCCAGACAGGCGAGGCAGTTTTCTTACTCGCCATAAGAGACTTGGGAAATCTCATTCCTAAAGAATTACGAGTTTCCTCATAGACTCGTATTTATGCAATAGTAAAGTATAGGATATACTCCAGTAAATAAATAAAATAAAATTAAAAAAACCCACACAAAACAAAACAGCAATGAAGAGCAAGAAAAGCTGCTATTCAGATCTGTAAATTTAAATTATTTTAATTTGAGCAATTTAATTTGATTGACCTATTCCTCTTGCTCCTGGAAATAATACATGACAATAGAGAAGAATCAAAGAAGCTTCCAACAGGCTTGAAAAGAAGGAAAAGAGAAAGCTGGTCTGAATCTAAAAAATACATTAAACATTCCATATTAATTCTCAGTGCTTTCCAAAAATATCTAATAGAGTTAACATATGCTGAACTAATCATGGGAGTCCTCTGACATTTCTGCTGGATCCTGTTAGAACTTCTGCTACCACTAGAGAATTTATTGGGGAAGCAAAAAACTAACAAATTCCCTAGCTTTCCTCAGTTTTCATAACTGACGCTTTTCCTCTTGGGCTTTTGATTTGTTCAAGTCAAAGGGGGGAAAAAAAGGTAGAAGAATCCTGATAGAGCACTCCTGCTGAGAAAAGAATCTGCAAACAAACTTCCCTTAACACAGAGAGTGGACATGACTTTCTCAGTGAAATTCAGAAGTCTCAGTGAGGTTATGTACATGGCAATAAGCATACACAGCCAAAGAAATCTTTCATATAATTTAACAAAAGTGAAGTGATTAACACTCACAAAATGAATTAACAAATCAAGGAGGTCTCATGCTCTATGATTCCATTGCCTCCAAACAATTGCTATTTCATTAGTCTATTGTATTTAATTTTTCTTGGTATTGCTTTTTAATGACCGGTTCAATGTATTGAAATATTCAACATCTTAAATGAGAATGTAATTACTTTGACTGATAAAGATGAATTATAACCTAAACATTCTGTGGAGTGTTTGTAACTTCCTTTACATACTGCTCTCCACGAATTTCTCTTGGCTCGCCATACTTCTGTCTCCTTTGAAGACATTTCCATTCTTGCAAGCGTTGCTGCCTAATTAAAAAGTAATAAAAACAGTAAACATCTTCAGAACATTTAAAATGCATTTTAGTATCTACTGCATTCCTCTCAATTACTTTTTAAAATGCTTTGAGTAACTGTTTAGCTCAAAGTCCTCTAATGTAATTTCAGAGCTAGAAAGGCTTCTACACTATATTCAGTAAGATAACATTAAAATACATTTTCTTAGTTCATCAGTACCAGATTTGGGAAACTTGAGCAACAAAAATATTTCACAAGGGTTTATCATTTGAGACAAAGCAAGAAAAAATTAAAGCAGGTACTAACTGTTTTTCTGATTCTGAAAATTAGATTACTTTGAGGAAGAACTACCAGTACTTAAACCAATATTTACCAGACAATTTAAAAATAATTCATGAAAATTGAAATGTAAAAACAGCAGATGGCAGTCATCATCTATAAAATATTTGCAAGGTGGTAAAGGAAAATGCCTTACTAAGATTTGTTGAACTAAAAGCAGCTATTCATTTTACTAACTGAAAGCCACTACAGAAGTGGCTATTCCAAAAAGATTAAATAATATATATGCAGTGTTATTATATTCTAGAAACAATGCATGGTAATTTAGGTTCACATCTTCCACATAATTATGTGAATTACTATCTTCCTATGAGAAGCCAACACTAGACACACAGTGTTAGCACTAGAATTATTTTAGTCGTTTTAAAAATGCAAAAGCAGTAAGTACAGGTGGAATCTAGACAGAGGAAATGTTTTGATCACACTAGCTTTTTTATTTCGTGTAAACTGCATGTCTCATTTTTCTTAGTTACAGTACAAAGCTCTGCAGAACTCAGCAGAGTACTTTGTAAAACACCAAAAAAAAATATAGGTGAATGTCCAATACAGCTAAAATTACTAAGTCTCCATACAGGGTGTCAAAGTTTTCTGAACCCAAATTCATAAAACATACTGACTTTGCATAGTATTGTAAATAATATCATTGGTGTACTCCTATTAAATAGTTGAATAAGGTTGTGCCACAGTTATGCCTAAGAACAGTGTACAGTGTATCACAGAATTATACAATTGCAGCATAGCTGAGGTTGGAACAGACCTCTGGAAGTCATCTGCTTGAACCCCCCTGCTCAAGCCGGGTCCCAGGAACATGCCCAGATGTGCTGAGCATCCCTGAGGACAGAGGCTCCACAGCCCCCCTGGGCAGCCTGTGCCAGTGCTCAGTCACCCTCACAGTAAAAAAGTGTTTCCCGATGTTCAGAAGGAACCTCCTGTGTTTCAGTTTGTGCCCACTGACTCTGGTCCTGTCACTGGGTACCACTGGAAACACCCTGGCTCTGTCTGCTTCATACCCTATAATCAGATATTTATAGACATAATCTTCAAATTAATATTTTTATGAAGGAATAGAAAAGCCATTAAAAGTAATGTAGGATAAGAAGCAAAATAAACGCAATAGTTGTGTATAAGGGGTCCACAGCTGACTTGATAAACGTCTTCCAAAACCACACAGAAGTATCAATTACCACCATTCCAGCATAGAAGCTGCAGTGCGTGATATAGCAAAACTGTAATTCATAATAAACTTTACATTGCATTTTTATTTCAGTAATATATTTAGAAAGCATACTGTACCAGAAATGAATGCTATCCAAAAGGCAGAAATGTATTTTGCTCATACTACTCAGATTAATTATTTAATTATCAACTAAAAATACTAAACAGTTCGATTCCAACACTGAAATACAGTTTTCTTCTTTAATGGCATGTCATCTTGATACAGGTGGCACACACTCCATATTCACAAAACTCAGTATCTTTCACAAAATTGGAGCAATGTATGTTGGGACCTTGTTTTTCCTAATGTTCTCGTGCAACATGATAGAAAAGGAATACCCATGACCAACTGTCCCATTTCTTCCTCGCTTGAAATCCACAGAAAGTGCTATCCAGAGAAGAGAGAAAAGGGCACAGAGAACTTCTGTCTCTGAACATTTATCATCATTGCTCTAACTCCTAAAGAATGGCAGAAAGTATCTTCAGAGTGGCACAGTGAGGGGTACAGTTTAATCAGAGAATGAACCCTACTTGTGTAATTTAGATAAATGTCAAGTAGACAACACTTCAAACATACACCTCTAAACATACAGTACCACAGCCTATCTTCAGCTGAACTGAGGATATGTAACAGTGGATTCCACTGTGGCCCCTTTTATTCTTTTTCTTTTAAATATCCAGCTTTCAGACTAAATAATTTTGTTCTAACAAAACATCTAAGTAAAATATGAAGTAAGCTGCTTCTCTTTGCCACGGGCAATCAGGAAGAAGCAGGACAGTAATGTGAGTGCTATCTATCTGCTGGCAAAGGAGCAGAAGGTGAAAAAAGGCAGTTGTGTCAGTCAGCAGACATTACTATTCAAAAGATTCTGAGTTTATTTTTCAGGAGCATGTACGTGTACAATAGTGACATGTGCATCGTTAACCTGGAGGGAAATATAATACCTGTACATTTCAATAGCTTTCCTATCAGCCTCATCAAAGTCATCTTCAGCTTCCTTTAATTCTTCAACATTCATTCTTTCATACTGTTTCACTAGAAACAACAAACAAAAAGTTAGTCACCTTCTGTTCTCCAAAGTGTCTGCAAACATTTTAAATGTATGACAAGTATTACACAAACACGAAACTAATGAAAGAAAAAGATGTACTAATTTCAGAAATTAGTCAACTTTGGCATAACTCTGGGTAAGAAAATAAAAATATTTAACAATATAGGAAAACATGTATCCATACATGTTACATGCCATAATGTTTGTCATTAACTGTATTGTGTGTTTAATTCAGAATCCTTTTTAAAATAACCAAGTGAAAAAAAATAAAAATATAATTATTGTACAATGTTTAAATTACAAAAAGCATTAGTGAAAATACCTCTGCTTTTGAAATTTTGTTATACTAATGGCATGTATTTTTAATTTTACTTGCCTTCTGCTTCTTTCTGAAAGTGTAAAACGATTTAAATTTCATCTTTTTTTTTTCTTTCAGAGGAAGAATTCCAAAATCTCTCAGTATGTCATTCCATTCAGTATCTTCATTTGGATTCTGTCTTAATACTAGGAAACAGAACTAAATCAACAAATCAGTCTTGTCTGCCTTTTGTAAAACCAAAGCTAGCCCTCCTCCACTTTGGCATATATCGAGGATGTAACAAGAGGAAACTGTTACTCAGAGGCTGCAATACCTTCATGGACCATTCTCTATCATGAATTTGCATTTGTCATTTTTAATTTCTGAACAGAAAACAGCAAGAAAATAAGAGAGAAAGAAAACTCAAAATTTTAAGCATAGATAAAATAATCAGTCTCCAAAATATCAGCTGCAGAATTGTCTAAAAGATATACGGAAACCAACTTCAGAAACCCAAAACTTTACACTGCTTACTCAAAAACACTTAAAGGAATACAGCTTTATACAGGCAAGACTTTTGTATCAGTATTTTTATGTTATTACTAAGAATAAGGTATTGACACTGTGAATAAACATGTAAAAGAATGCCTAGAATTGGAAGAAAAAGACCTTTTCATTTTAAATGAATGATTAATATTGTCAACATAACCTACTTTATACAGTATGTTTATAACACAGGACTTCTGTAGGTGTTAAGTCTACATTTGTGGTAATTTTAATGAAAAGGTTAAGATAAAGGAATTGTGTAATATTTATAAGAATGCATATAAGACTGAAATTATCACCTTAAAAGAATCTGTTTATTGTAATTGAACTGCTGTTGGAATAGTAGAATAGCAACACTGTAGGAGGCCTCAAATATGGATTAGAAGTAGTAAAACAGATTTTAAAACAGGTTGTTAAAAAGTGTGGTGTTTCTGGCCCCGAACTAACAATTTGTTTGAAAATATCCACAAAGATATCTCTATAAATATGTGTATATCAGATATATGTTTCGATATTCATAATTCCATAATAATGCAGCATCAAATGATCAAAAAGAATATTACAAAAATTTTACCTGAGGAAACATCCAGGATTTCCAATGGATTACTACCATGCGCATGAGTACTACATTGGCCTTCCCAGCTGACAGCTGTCTCATTTTTATTCAACACGGCTCTTGTACAGAATTTAGCATAAGTGTAATGAAACAAATTCTAATGAAGATCAAATGCTACACATGCCTTGAGGAATTTCACAATGGTAAAAAAACCTCCTTTGCATTTTAAATTAAAACATATATGGGAAATCCACAAAGAGAGTAAACAGAATCATGCTATCGCGCACGACCCTTACCTCTGGCAGTTTCTCTGGCATGAGGAAGGAAGAAAGGCTTGGCAGGGTTTGGTGTGGAAAGGAAGTAGCAGTAGTTCATGACAGTTCATCCAACGCTCCTATTGCATGGGCTCAGCAGACTGCAGGCAAGGGTACTGCTACTAATATTCACTACTAGTGGAGCACTCTGGCTTTGCAAACATCTAGTGTCTTATTGCTAAGATAAACCAGAGATTTCATACCTAAATACTTTAATTGATTCCTTCCGCAAAGCTCCAACATCCAGATTTTGGACTAGATATGACAACTCCATTGTAAATAGTTAGTAATAGTATGTGGTAAATTATTTTCTGTAACATTCTACCTCTAAGAACATGGTTATTTCGAAATCAAGTATTTCAAATATACTAGCAAACTTACTTTAAGTTTATCCACATATGAAAACATAGATAAGAATAAGTGATGTTTTCTCCTTGATTGAAAAGTAATTGATATAATCCATTGGAAAAAATAAAAGAGAAGCTCCATATAGAATCTAATGAATTAGGTGGTCACTAATGGGTCTGGAATAGGAAAAACCCAAATGAAGATTTTGCTTTAGTGTAATCGTCCAGGGTTTACTTACATAGAAAAGTCTTACACTCAGTCTTACTGCAAGTTTTCAACCCTTCACCAAAGCAGAATTTTGACTTAGGTATCAAAACATTCACAGAACTAAGAGGACCACTCCTCCAAGGGAACCACTGAAGAAACAAGTGACACACATCCACATCAGTTTGGCCTCCCCGTGCTTTACCGTATGATTACCTGACTTAAGTCATGATGAAATTTCCCCACTTCACAGATTGAAAATCCTTCTTCATAGTAGGATTTTGAAGAATCATGAGGCATTAAAAAACATAATAAAAATCATCATTGTAACTGGACAAATAATTTCAAAACCATGCAACAAAAAGGACTACCAAAACAGAATTGGAATGTAGGTAACTTAGAAGATAAGCTCTGGCCAGTTTTGCCAGGAAAAATTTTGACATTTTGTGGTTTTCTGTAAATTTAGGTTCTACATAAAATCCTTCCATAGTATTTTACTTAAATGGTATATTTTATACTACTTCTATTTAATGTTTGTAACGCTCAATGGGTTTGTATAATCAGTTGTACACTAGATATTTCCTAGTTGCCATTACATCTACAAAATGGAAAAGCAAAACAAATAAATTGGATGAAGAATCCTAGACCACAGTAAATATTATAGTAACAGCTGTCCCTGTTCAATCTGAACTCCAATCTCAGGAAGATCAGAAGCTAGCAAACAGTATACAATTTTTTAACAAATGGAGTTAAATCAATGTTTAGAAAGATGGTGTTAAGTGATTAGTTCAAGGTTGCAGTAATATGCACAAATTAAATAAATGAAAATGTGTGTCAAAGATTTCAGAAGACACTTGATGGTAATAGTGCAAAGGAGCCAAGCAGTGGCAAAAGCGATCCAATGTAAATTGGTTTCAGATTACACAACTAGGCTACTGAAATAATATTGCTTTACTAACAGGTCGCAATCCCAAGCAAAGAAACTTCTCGCAACGCTTCTCGCTGCTGCCAATTATAAGGTTGGTTACCACCAGCTTTGCCAGGGGTGATGCACATACCCAGTTTGGGGGCCCATAGGCGAGGTAACTTCAATCCTGAAGCGTAAATAACACTTCTGATAGATTAAATTTGCAGGTTTTGGTTGGTTGGTTGGTTGGTTTTGGGTTGTGGTTTTTTTTTTTTTTTCTCCCGGTGAATGACATGAAAAAAATTCTTAATGATGTTTTTAAAATATGCTACACCTACGATCATCCAGCTATCAAAGCGTGGTATTTTATTATTCTTACAGAACAGTAACGATGGTTAATTCTTAACGGCTAGAAACTCGGGAGCTTCCTGATGTATTCTCACAACAGAACCCACATAAACTGGTCTCCCATCTGCCACTTCTGGCGACCCCCGCAGGGTCTGGGGGTGGCAGGCAGGACCAGGGCAGCGACACCGGCTCTCCCTGCCCCGCGGGGCCGCCACCTTGCCTTCCCTCTCCCTCAGCCCAGCAGGCGGGACGGGCGCCGCAGGCAGCGCGATATGGCTCTCGCAGCACCCGGCACCTCCCTCGGCCCCAACCGCTGCCCGCCGGCAGCAGCCTCCCACCTTGCCTTGGCGTCCCCGGCCCAACTCCCCTCATCGCCCTCGGCCTCAGCCCGCCAGGACAGCCCGGGGCTGGGGCGGCCCCCAGGCACTGCCTCGCCTCTGACCCGCGGGTGGCGGCGGCGGCGGCCATTGGAGCAGGGCCGCCCGGCCCTCACCGGTTCGGGGGCTTTGCCCCGTTAGTCGTAGGTTACTGCTGACAAAACCAACGCGCTTAAAAACATTTAAGAGCAAAACAAAGTAAAACAACAGACAACAAAACCAGAATCCAAACAAACAAAACGTGAAACAAAGGGCACTTCCCGCCAGGGCCACGTCAGGCGGTGGTTTGGTGCTGGCTGTGGCTAAGGGAGGCAGCCACGCTTTCCCGCCTTGCTCGTCAGCCGTGGCCTGCTCGTCCCGCGGCAGCCTTAAGGGGAAGCGGTCAGTCGTGTGGTGTAAGGCATCGGGCCGGGGGGGAAATTAAACAAAGCACCTACTTTAATACTGTACAATAAGTGTTTTGTAGTAGAAGGCCACGAGTTGGTTCTGACCAGGGGTCTGACAAAGCTAGATCCTCATTCACAAACATTTGCAGCAGTTCAGCTGGAGGCACAGCAAACTGCAGAGTGAAAACAGGTGGGTAAGAAGAGGAAAAGGACTTCTTTGGTCGGGTTTCCACGTCTGAGGCCATCTGTTCTCCCAGCTGCTTTATGAAGTTCAAGCTGCTCATCCAAGTTTGCAGAAGCAGGAGTAGATAATGCTGAGGTCAGTTCAAACTCTGACCTGCCAATACAATGTTAAAAACAATAATCTGCTTCTACACTGAACGATTAGTTACTTTCAACATAATTACAGCCTCAGCATCATAGTTTAACGCAACCCTGACGTGAAAACAAACTCGGGGAGAGAAGCTAGGAAGACTGTGAAGCTAACTTGTTCTTTTGAGTGGAATTTATTTAATTCTACATCAAAACCACTTGAGTTTTCAGATGGTTCCTAATTCTGGAAGAATGTAAACAATGCAGTTAAGTCTTCTTCTGAATGAAAACCATACTGCATATGTGTTCTGAATAGCTAAAAAAATGATGTCATTGTATTTTAGGTAAATTAAGTAAAGATACTTCTTCAAAACATGCATTTTACTCAATTTCCTTTAGTTAAGGGAATAAAGGTTCTAATTTCTTTCGGGCAATGAAATGTTATTAACCTTAAGGCTCATTGAGGACTGACAACTCATTTATCACCAGTATATATCTTATCTTGACCCTGCAGATTGCCAGAAATCCACAGGCTACAGTGAAGGAAGTACACAGTGGAAAATATCATCTTGAAAAGCAAACTACACCTTTTGTTTGGCCTGTCTAGATAAGCTGCGATTTTAAAGACTGCACAAATCACTTGCAATATATTCTGAAAAAATACAACAGCATATATTGCGAACATTCTGGTTAAAACAACTGAGTGCCTTTATTCATAAGGGAAAATAAATTTACATAACAGTTGTTAGAGGCAATGTCTGTTGCATGCATACACTGTGACTCTTTTACACACAGCTGTAAACATAACACTAGGAAACTAATAATTTTAGGATGCTTTCAACATAATCAACAAAGTAAAGAAACATTTGAATCCTTAATGGAATCGAATTTAATAACATTTACATTCTAGTGATTTTTAATTGTACATTAGTAACAAATAATTTTTGTAAGGTAAACAGTATGTTCATGTGGTCAGCATTCCTGCAGCATTAATCCTAGGTCAGGAATGTAAAATCCTGAAAAATAAGAAAAATCTTCAGCTGTTGGTGTGATATAATACTAAATACTTAAAATATGATAGAGATGTAAGATACATTAGAAAACAGAGCATTATAATGTTGACATAGGTAAAATTTTTTTATATCTCTCCAAAGACTTGAATGATTTGAAATTAAATCCTGAAGTCTACACTTAGTTTCAGTGTGAGTTTTTTTTTTCTGTGTAAGAACAGGAAGACTACCGCCAGGATGTCAGTATGTATTTGATAGGTAGTTGAATCAGTTCTTCCTGACATACATTTATCATCATTGTTAACTTTCAAAAATGTTTACAGGTCTGGGATATTTTCAGTTTCTTGATGCCTGAAAAAGTTCTGTGTTCTCTGTTCTAGAAACTAGCTTTTATTCACTTCACTTGAAGATATGTGAATTTAGCACATCTGCAAGAAGCTTTTCTGCAGAAATATTAAATTGACAAAACAGTTAAAGGCTTCCTGAGACTACTCCTCAACATAAATATTGTGTCCTATTTCTATAGGTTGTGATTAAAAGCACTAAATAAATACCTCCTTAGCGAAAATCCACTGATCTCCTTCCGTTGCGTGGCTGAAAGACAAATATCCAATAAAACTCTATAAAACTGACTGGTTTCAGTAACAAAGCCCCACCCTGGTATGTATAGAAATTGGGAAATTTCTCAGTTCTTTCAACATGATCACCACTAAAGATAAACCTGAGACCAGTTATTGTTTAGTGTATATCCACATCTGGAGAAGAATTATACAGTAAAAATTACTGTATAGAGATTAAGAATTATGTCCATCTCGTGGGATTTTACAAGGGGGAGAAAGTCACAAGAAGTGACTCTAAGAGACCATTATGCCTCTTTGGTTTTTTTTTTTTTCTTAAGATGTGCTTCCAAATTGTTATTATTGCATTATAAGTATTTGTTATAATTAACAAAGAAATATATGTCACTCAATTATTTTATTTTTAGACTGTGTTAACATAGGCAAAGAATGTCTCCCTTTTCACCAAAATTTCGGAAATATTTTGCACTACAAAGGAACTTGATACAACATCTACTAAAGCTGATAAAAAAATCTCTTACTGAGCTTAACAAGAATTTGCTTTTCACTCTGACATCATGAATACATTGATGTTAATATTACACATAATTTTGGCCCGTCATACGAACTGTAAAGATCCAATCCTGATACATAAGAAATATAACTATACAAATTCACCTTCTTTTCATTAGCCACTTTCTTATTTAAATAGAAAGATTAACCAAAATCAATATAATTATTATTAAGTTTGAGTTGCCATCTTTAATTTGCTCAGTTTTTCATAAAATGGAGTAAAAAAGCTCTATGACATCAAGGATGAATGGAGTAGTTTCATTCTCATGACAATTTCTGTGTCTGGTTTCTAATCTTACTGGTCAAAACTCAAGGAAAATGAGAATGTCAGGCCCAGTTGTTGTTTTGATACAGTGTGTAAGCATGGCATTGTATTTATGTCACATGCAAACATACCGTACTGAACAATGCTTTAGAAGGATTGTCCAAGACGGCATATTTTCTAGAACTTTCTCTGAGAATTATATACATAATAACCAATTACTTATTAAGACATAGCATGGTATCATGTATACACAAACATTAAGATGTGTACAAAAACTTCCTACTGTGCCTTTATTTTAATCCAAGAAGATGTCTGGAGCAGATCTTGAGTAGTCCTATATGGTGGGATATTCTTACTGGAACAAGTTTCCTCAGACACAGTATTCTTACTGCAGTTCGCTGGTTTCTCTACTTTTTGTTTTGTAACACTCATCATGAAATGAAAAGGAAAAAAGTCAAGCAAACCATACCCGGTAGAAAAAGTAGCCTCTGCTTTGAATCCTGCCAGGTCCTTGAAGCTCTTCCTGAAAAAAGTATTTTAAATCATATCTATTCTTGTAAATAAATACATATAGAGAGGTTGTTTATGTACATATTAAAAGTGTTTCTTCAATATTACTACACAGTCTTGCCCCATAAGGTATGCTTTATATGTATTTATCTGTGTCAGTAACAAGAAGTTTGTGTTGTCATGTAGAAATAGCAGAAAACACATGAATAAAGGCCAAGTTCCTCAAGTTTTGGCTCAGTTCAAATTGCTTTAGAATGGTACTAGTAACGGTAAGCAGCCTTTGCCTTCCACTTTCCCGGTTTCATTACCCAGACACAAGTAGAGTGTCTTCATGGTGGTGGAGTCTCTACAGACAGAGTAGAGCTGGTCTCTGCACCTTGCAAAAGGATAGCAATGCAAAGCTTTAAATATCAGAAATACTTGTGCTTCTCCCAGGAATGAGATCCCAGACTGTTCCCAGAGGTGTATCACGATCACTCCTCTCTCATTAGCTCCCAAACGAAAGACCGGTGCCTATGATATTCTCTCATGTCAGTGCTGCACACGTTGAGAAACAACTGCCTACGGATCCATACCGCAAGAGTGGGGAAGGAACAATGAAGAAAACAGAAAATCCATTTACATGTAACAAGTACAAAGCAGGAAGGATCTAGTTGCTTTAATGAGACCTTCATGATTAGAGAACACATAAGCTTAATCACAGTATTTTCATTGCTTGTGGTGATATCAGATAGCTGAGTGAGGTGTCTGCACTGCAGGTGGGGAGGCAGGCCAACTGAGATACAAAATAGTTCAGATCTTGTGCTTACCAGAACATAAAATTTAGATGAAATTTATTTAGCAATGATAGTGTTTCTCAACTAAAAACTGGGGTCATGTGATCTCTTGGGTAATGATCATAACCTGAGTTGTCATGAAAAGTAATCACTCCATCCTCTGTTCTAATGCTGTAAGAATTCTGTAAAACAGGATGGCTCCCATCATTTCCAAACACTGAAAGCTTTCCTGGATTGAAGCTACTCCTAAAGAAGTAGGGTTTAAACTATACCCAATTTTTGATTCTAGCCTTTAATTTTGACTTCAGTTCACCAGATATACCATTATACTCAGTTTCTTTGCTGTATGTAAAACATCTATATGATTTTTATTTACATTGTCCATCTCATTCTTGTATTACCCAGGTTTGAAATGCCCATCTCAGATCTATAACCGCTTCAATACTATAGCTTTTTATATTTCAAAAAGGTAAATATTTGTCTGTTAATGGAGTCTTGTACATTGCCATGGGAGTGGCTTATGGTCTTTATATTTCATTATTTATTAACTTTTTTTATTTGATGTGTGAACAAAAATAAAAACAGTAACAAAATAGGCAGCTGTTTCAAGTTAAAGAAATTGATCAAGAACATAAAGGGAATTAAGATTACAATTGCCAATATGAAGTTGTGATTTATGTTAATACGTCATTCTCTGCTTACAACCAAACACCTCTTAAAGAAGATTGCATAGTTTTGCTTTATTTCCTATCAGAAGCCTAGTATAAGAAAACAACTGAAGCTAAAATGTGTAACGCCCACCTTCTAAACTTCCCAGGGTTTGGAGATATTAAAAAAATAATTAATACATGCTGTAATGTATATCCATGTATATTCACAAACCTGCATATGTATATGTATACAGAAACATATACATTTCTGACGAAATATGGTTATTTAGAATTTTATTTTAATGCCTGCCCTCTAGAAGTTATCTTGTTCGGTCTCTTAGATTGACTTGACACCAAAATGCTCTTGTGTCTTCTTTCTTAGATCATATTATAGCAGCTAAGATGTAATTCAAGAGGAATCAAATTCATGACAAAATCTGGTGTCAGTCCACTCTGGGAAGAAAGAACAAATTTTAAAAAGCATTTTTCCTCCTTCACCGCTCCACCTTTTCAGTTCCTTGTCTGTTTGGGGAGAGAGGTGGGTGTGTTTACATATAGCAGGTGCTGGTTTTCTTCCCAGTATGAGGAGAAAAAAACACTAGCAGCAAGCTAACCCTTCCTGAAGCACAGTCAGTGACACCAGAGTGCCAGCCAGAGGTGGACAGCCTGCAGGAACAGGGGGGCATCCTGCTCCTTCGGGGATCGGAGTTCCTCTGCACGTCTTAGGCAGAGTTGCTTTGATAATTTACTGGCTTTAAAGTTTATCGATGCCATTTCCCCATCCGCCCATCTGATAGAGTCTCTGGGAAAGGTAGATTTATATCTTTCTCACAGTCGGGGAATACTTGCACTACTTTTATTACTGATGGTAGATTATTTCAGTATTTTCTTAATTTTCTTATAAACTGCTATGACCCTCAGCAATAATAGAGAGGATTTTAAACTCTTACACTAAATGCACCAAAATCTGCCATATAAACAAATATGATAAGCATAATATGGATGAATTTCAAAGATTTATTATCACATTAAGATAGATAAGGTGTATGTAAACCCACTGAAACCAAGAGAGACTGCAAATTAATTCGATTCCAAAAGATGCTAGCATTTTGTAAAAGTCTGGTGCTTATGCACTGTATACCAGTAAGTAACACTCTTAACAGGGTGACTGGTACTCACAGCAGGAATTCACAGGAGGAAATTAAAAAATTTGCTTTCTATAAAATGCAATTCAATTTAGAGCTGTTTTCATTGTTTCCTTAGATTTTGTACTGGGTTTATGAATATTTTTTAATGGCTGTATTCTGTAAGTGTTGACCATGTCATTACTTCTCGTGGTTTTAGCCTTACAGAAGAAAATGTGTTCAAGTACCTATTTAATATTACACATTTTCCTTGGGATTTAATGAGCTCTTCACTTTCTAGGCCTAAATGTCAAATGATAGATGTTCCAAAATAAATAATGATTTAAAACATATAGGGAAAAAAAAAAAAAAATCAAAGATGGTTAAATCCATTAATGACTATTTTAGATAATGGTCCAGATGAAGCCTTCAGCTCGGAAGGTCTCTAGGAAGTGCCTGCCAGAAGCTAGAGAGTATACCAGAGGACCGATTGCTCTACACTTCCCTGGTCCTTCCACCTTTTTCCTGTCTATGCACAGCAAGACACTGTTAGACATAGGATACTGGACTGATGAGAATATAGTCTGAACTAGTGTGGCTTTTGTTATTGCACCTTCTTTCTTAAAAATTGTTGCTATGATATGACTGTGACAGTTCTACATTCCATTCTTCAAACAAATCCTAGTTAGACATCCTTAGGCAGAATAAGGGTGGTAATGAAGTGATTGCACCATCTACTTTAATCCAATTGTCCATGATAGCACTGACTAATCTAGAAGATTCCTGCACCTCTCGTTCACAAAATACAGGTTACTGTTACTCAACATGGTAGTTGAAAGTGCCACAAATTCTGCATTCAAACTTTTAGCTGGAACTACAGTTCTTATGTAGCAAGTAGTGTAGCACTGAGCATGTGGATATTCCCACTGAAATAATGACCTTAGTTATGCATGTGCTTATGTATTTAGCTGAGTTAACATGTAAAGGTAAGTGTAGCATCATGATTGCCAATGATAGACTGCTAGTTATCACAGCACAGAATGGTTGGAATTCTAACTGGCTATTTCCATGTACTACTAGTTATGAGTACAGTAATACAAATAATAGGAGACAGGTCTTTTAAAAATTAGCCAGGTGAAATGCTGACTAAGGAAACACATAATATTCATCATCATTCATTCATTTCTACTTTAAAGATCTGATTAAAATAAGATACCTTGCAACAAGGAGCTCAATAAAGTGTTTGCCTTTTGCCACAACGTTATATCTGCCTGCCCTGGGCTCAATCCCAAACACTAAAGCATTGTTTTGGTCTGTTTTTTTTTTTTTTTTTAATTTCCCTTGGAACAAATATTTCCAAACACTATCCTAAAGTTAGAGGACTTTTTAGATCAGTATGTGTTTACACTTTATATCAGATAGCTAGTATACTTTTGAATTTTTTTCTAAGGATTTTTAGAGTATGGATTTTGATGTTTCTTTAATGTAAAAAATAAGCCTCTAAATTGTTTGTCACATAATGGCTTGAGACCTCTTAAAAAGAAACAATTTCTTAAATTTCATTTGTGAATTGTTATAAGTATAGTTTACTGTTTAACAGTAAAAATAGTTAACAGTAAAATTTCCTATAAATTACTTAGAAATTCTTAGTGCTGTAAGTCATAAATAATGTAAGTTTAAGGAGTAGATATGTTTTGAATTCCAAACAGGTAAAAAAAGAACACCCCTCCCCCCCCTAGAAAATATAACTCAACTGCAATATAATGGTACAGGTAAATTTGAAAGTTTTTTCTTTTTATAAAAGTACTAGCAGATCCATTTTGATACCTAGGCTCTGTTTTCTACCAGTGTTCTGTGTTAAGAGTATATTACTTCAGTGTTTTTTGGTTTTAAATGTTAAATAGCAGCAGGGTTATTTTTCACTAATTAGAGAATAGAAAAACCTCACATTTCTAATGAAAATACACTAGTGTGGTATTAAATCGTGGAAAAAAAAAACAAACAAAAAAAAAGTATTATGAACAGAAAAGTCTACAAGGACATTTTTAGAAGAGCTAATGAATCACGAAGTGTGAGAATGCAAGCATGCAGAGTTTAAGATTACATACGTCCACTCTGTATCTCTTCAGTCTTCCCTCATTAAGCTGGGGAACGAGTTGCAGCAAAGGATGCAGGACAGACGACTGAGAGGACGTGAACACAGACACATGAGCAACAACGAAATCTGGACTTCATGATGCAAAAAAAAAGACTCTTCCTGCGGTATTGGCTTACAAACCAAACATGCACCGAAAAAAGGGCTGAAGATGTTAATTGAGAAAATTACTTTTTTAACAATCTGACTTGACAACAAACAGGTACCAACATTTATATTTACAGTATGAACACGGCTCAGAGTGATGGAGGGAACAGCTGTTCATCCTCACCTTTACTCACTGAAAGTTCAGAACTGTTTACAGACTTCTTGCCCAGGCAATTGCAATTACTCAGACTTTGATTAGCCTCTGTGAGTGGTACAGAGGATATTTCTATACACTACTCCTACTAACGTTTCTACAATTACCTATTATGGAAGTTAGAAGCTTCAATTTCCATTGTACCGAAAAATTCATTTTACTTCAAAATAACTTAAATTGCAGCAATAAAATAATGTGGGGTTTTTGCTAGAAAATCATATGCAGGAGGGATCCATTTTCAAGTAAAATTTGTAACCGTGGAACTGGTCATTCTACCTAAAGGACAAGCTCCAGTTGTGAAATTCCTTGTATTCAACAAGACTTTATGCTTGCAGACAACCTGGTTAAGCACACTGGTGTACTGCACAGTGCAGGTGCCCCCCTGGCAAAACACAACCTTGTGGGCTTGTGGAGAGAGGTCCACAGTAGAAAAACCTGTGTTCTATCAACCAATTTAAACCTTCAACTCATGCAAATGTAATTTAAAAAATAATGCATTTTTGATACAATAGTTCTTCGAAAAGTAATACAACAAAGAGAATTATGATATATGGAATAACTAGAGTTACCAAAGTGTTAATGTACTAACTAGGTGAAATGAACTTTCCTCCTTGGAGCCGATTTTGCATTGTCTGCCTAAGGTAGGCAATGTGGCATCATTATCACTAAAAAAAGTAGAAGTCTGATGTGAGTGGAAGAGTTAAAGGGCAGCCCAGCTGGCCACTTGGGCTCTGTCTTGCGGGCAGTGGAGAGAGGTTAATAAAGCCAAGAAATGATGGATCTTAGCTAAGTTATCTCTGAGAACTGGGCTAAACCAGAAGTGAGAATGCAGTAATCTCTGGGGGCAGGCAGGGGCAAAGGTATTCAGGATGGGGACAAAGTGGGATGCTGGAACCTCTTAAGCGGGAGCAGCAGCAGAAATAACTCATTCCACTGTGCCCTGATTATCATTAAATCCTCCAGAAAGCTCTGTCATGACCCCAATATCAGCAATATCTATTTCTGGGACATATGCCACAAATTTCTGAAGCAATGCAAAGAACAAAGCAAAAATGGACATTAACATTTGAGAATGGTTGTTAAACATGAATATGTTAAACTTTCTCAACATCCTGTGGTGCACAAGAAAGCTACACAGATGCACAGAAATAACAGATGTTTGCAGTTTAAAAGCAAGAATGGATCACACATAGTTTATTTGTTGGTTTATGAGAATATTTTTATAGCAACAATACTAGGCTATTTTTAAAATAGTATTTTTCACTTAAAATATAATCCAAAGTATCAGTGAGACTTAAATACTATTTTGCCTGACACATACTTGACATGCACAAATACATACAATTGAATTAATAGAAATTCATTAAGAGTTCTTAATATTTATGGTCAAGTTATCAGCTTCTATAAAACTGAATTGTTTCACTGCATACATTATGTTCCAGTACCAGAAAAAAAAACATTTTATCTTGTTCTTAAATGTTGAAACTACAAGATTAAGATGCAGTTGGGATTCCGTGAATGTTTGGTTTCTTTTTTTTTTTCCACACCTGTACAGTACTGATGATCCTCTCCCATGTTATTAAAACATATTCTATAACTTAAACATGAAACTCCCAGTTCGGAGCTTGCTATACAGTTGGAGAAACTGCTGCAAAAATGAACATTACCTTGTTTTTATGTTCAAGCACACATGTACTCACAAGGAGGTGCTATGCCACTTACCATGATGTCTGAGTTTCCTGAGTCATGAGTCTTAGAATAATGAAATAAGAACTGTTCAAAAAAATTAGAAGTGGTGTTTTACTACAAAACAGGGTAAAGGTGTTTTGATTTTCTTGACAATTTTAGTGTAATTGTAAAAAATACATAGAAATCTTACCCTTTTGGTGTTGTCTTTTTCATCTAAGCCCTGTGGGAATAATAATCAGTAGAGAGGATTTTATTTGTTTAAAAAAAAAAAAAAAAAAAGCAATGGACAATTTTGATTACATTATAAACTTTTCAGTACTGGATTGGAATATCTGACTTCCTTGACAAATATAGTACATGTCTTTGCTTAACAACATAGCTACACATTTCAAAATCTGCAGAGAGCATTGTTTACTCTCCACTAGGAGAGCAGATGGGTTTAGCAGATGCTCCAGTGTATATCCCTAGTCTCTCCTAAATACAATCCTTTCTCCATTGAGATCTCATAATTTTTCTAATATAGAGCAATAAAAGCACCTAAAACCTTATATCCGGCCTGGAGATTATTTTCCAAACACTGGAGTCTCCCTTCTTTCTTTAATAGGTGTTTTTACACACAGCATTTCAGAGTCAGATCTGATAGTATTAATTCCAGCACCTGGTGACATTTTGGATACCGGGTCCTCAGAATTCGTTGTAGTCACTGGCACACAGAGATTGGGCTTCAGAAATGCCAAGTAGTCTTGCGTGTGTGTTACCTGTGGTTTCTGGAGAAATCCCATGACCAAAAAACAAAGTTCTTCCATTGTACTGGGTGCCTAATGCAAAGAAAACATGAAGTCAGGTATCACACTTCCAATCCTAGTACATATAATAAATAGTATCAAAATAATAAAGCAACCTCTGACTCACCTGAGGCTGAGAATCTGTGGACAGGTAGGCAGAACATGCATCGTCTATCTGTAAAAGTTCACACAGTCCTTTTTTAAGAAGTCGGATTAATAAAAACAAGTGAAATGTGTACATTTTCAGAAACAGTTCAGTGCAGCTAAAGGCATGACAAGCCTGTTCACCATTAAAGAATCCACAAAGGTACATTCATTAAATATTTTGCGTTCAGGGGAAAAAAAAAGGCCTTAACCACATAAGGAAAATATTATACTTTATCTCAACAAACATATACGTATCTGTGTTCTTTATTCTCTCACCTGCCTCATGCCTCTCTTATTTTTAACCTCAGAACAAGTAATGTTTTAAATTATGATTTTAAGCATCTGGGGTATTGACTATGAACTTAAATCTTTTTTGTGGCATTTCTGGATTATACAAAACTGCAAAGAAAATGACAAAGCTAAAGCAAGTGACTCCATGAGCAGTCCTCAAACACAGCTCTTCTGATTGAATTCCAGCATCCCTGCAGGTGTATGACACATGCATTTCTTAAGTGATTATGATGTGTGCCAGCACATCTTATGCATGCCAGTCACTTTGTGTGAGTCACCAAGCAGCCAATATCCGAGGTTTGCACTGATTTCCTTGTCAAATGAGGAGGCTTAGCAGTTTTTGTTTAAAGGAGGTGGTTCCCAAATCACAGTACTGGTAGGAGATACATTCAGTATCTTTCAAGGGATCTAAACTCAAAGAGCATTGTGGAAGAAGTCATTGCTGATGAACTTAAGACGGTCACTTAAGACAGGCAGCACAGAATTGAATGCAACACACAGACACAAAACCAAAACAGATAAATCCACAAACCAAGAAGTCCCAACTCCCACTTCAACTGGATCAAAACAATATCCGTTTAGCTCTACATCTTATCTCCAGAAATGACCAAATGTTGACACCCAGGGAAGAACCTAGGACAAGACCAGTGGTTGAGTAAAACCCATGCTCTCCAACCACCAGCACTCTGAGTTGGAAGCAGGTCCTTTGTAATAAAGCTCAGTGGATTTCTGTGCTATGAATTTGATCAATCTCTCTCTGAGCCACTGTAAACTTTTAACATCCACAACATCCTGCGGCAAGGGTTTCCTAAGCACTGCATGGAATACCACTTCTGTTTGTCTTGATCAGTCTTTGCAAAGCCATCTTCATTCAGTGCTGTCATGACCCTGTCCTGGAAGAGGTAATGAATAGGTGATTCCCACCCATCATCTCCCTGTGGTTCATGACCTTGTGTAGACGATTAATCACATCCTTCTTCTGTTGTCTCTTTTCCAAGATGAAAGAGTCCCATAACACTGAATCATTTTTAATGGAGATATTAAGAAAGGAGAAGAAATTAAGTAAAGGGCATTTGAATTCATGGAAGTAACATTACCAGTGCTGAAAGCTCAAAGCATTCTGTGAGGGAAAGAAAAAAATCTCCAGTACTCCAACTGAAGCTACACAGTTTAACAATAATGGGGAAAAAAAAAAAAAAAAAAAAAAAAAAGCTTAACCTTTCATTATATAAATTTAAAATTGTATCAATAGCAATCTCCTTTGGTAGGCCTTATTTTTTTTTTCCATTTAATAGTTGGTACTGTTAGTCTATATGCTGAAAAGCTTTGCCAATCATCTTGTTCACAGACTGCATTAAAAAAGTGTTGTTTTGGGTTTTTTTTTAAATAAAGTGTAAGCAATGCAATGGGTCTTATAATTTTATTATAGGTAAAAAGCCCTAAACAGCACTCTTTAGCAATGAAAACATTAAATGAAAAAAGCAATAAACAAATAATGCATATTTGAGTGCTTCAAGACAAGACATGATTCATTTCTCTAGAGACAATCTATGAGAAAGCATTAGCAGAGATAGTGGGAAAGCTAATAGCTCACAGAATTCCCTTTTCAAATACTTTTTGTTGGTAACACATCTTGCTCATTCTCTTTTCCCTTCATCTTGCCATTGTTTGTCTCTGGGTATATTAGTTCAGCTTCACTGCTTTCAGAGTGAGAAAATACAAAGGGAGAAATCAGCACCAAATGAAATAAACTAAACTGAAATAATTTTGTTAGCCTAAATCAAAACTTTGCTGTTTCTTCTTGGTGAGGGAGTTTCTGCTGTTTTTTTTGTTTGTTTTGGGGGGGTTGTTTGTTTTTTGTTTTTGTTTTTGTTTTTTTTATTTTATTTTATTTTATTTTATTTTGTTTATTTGCTTGTTTTGTAGTTGGAGGTGACTCAGAGAACTACCATAATTCAGTAGCAGGACAAGCCAGAGACTGCTTTGTGTTGGACACAATGCAAGACAAGGTATCTCTCAGATAAACCTGCATGGACAAAGCAAGAGCTGAGGAAAAGCCACAGCTTCAGTTAATTCCTTTCAAAAAAAAACATAATAGTTTCTCTCATCCTTGATGTATCTGCTAAGTAGTTTTCTCTCCAATCTCAGAAATGTGGCCTGAGGATGGGAGCTTGTGAGTTGTTTGGGGTTGGTTAAATAACAAAGAAACAAAAGGGTTTGAGAGACAAGTAAAGGAACACCATACTTAGTTACAAAGTTCCCATATTTATAAACTCATAGTCATTCCTGGAAAAATACTAGGTTAATTTAGAGGCAGGGCTTCTCCTGAATCCTGTGTTACAACTAGCAAATCGTAGCAGTAAATGCAGAAATGTATAAAATAGCATTTTTCAATCTAGAATGTAAATAACTCATTTCTATTAACTCCTTAAATCTATCAGGACCTTACTTCCCAAAAGACCACTTTTTCTCCAAGAGATCAATATCACCAGCTCTTGTTTAACCGCCAGTCTAGAAGTATGTTGGTGTTTGAGACAACCCTTCCAAAATGAACTAAGGGCAGCTGACAGTAAGGGAAGCATCTCCTGTAATGGCTGCAAAGGGAAGAAATTCACTCTATGCATCTGTACCCTTGGTGAGTCACTTGCTTTCTAATGTTATCAGAAGCTACAAAATTAAATGTCAAGGGAATACTTAGAAGGTTATAGCAACATCAGGGCATGTGAGTTTCAGGCTAAACCCTCCCTGCATGTTGTGCTCTGCCACTCCATCTGTTCCAAACGGGCAGGGAAGAGCCCGGGTTAACACACGCGTCACATCCTAGAGTCAAAACAAACGTTCATTTCAAAGACAGAGTGGAAGTTATGATAGCAATCAGTAGAAAAATGCTACAGGGGTAGTTGACGCATTATCCTTTACCTAGTAAATTAAGGGGCTAGGATAGGATTAAGTACAGTGTCCCAGCCCTGTGTGCAGAACAGAAGAAACAAGAGATAAGACTGGATGAGTTGAAACAATTCCTGTGTGTCATGCGTGGACTACAAAACCACCAGGTGGGACACTATGTTGCTTCCAGGGACAGTGACTGCCTGGTCATTGACAGGTAAGTGACAACTGTTATCAAACATAGCTCTCCACTGAGCCAAGACAGTCTTTCCCCAGAAAAATGTCTCAACACCCAACGTCAACATCCTCCTGGAACAACTGTTCAGAAAATCTGGAAAAGAAGATGTTTCACCTCTTCACTGATGTCAGGATAGGAGATAGCAGGACTGGAAGAAGAAGCACCTGAACTCCATGCAAGAAAAATACGGGAGAGTGAGGTGCGGCTGTAGCAAGGAAGAAGAAATGGGAGACGATGCTTACCTCTTTCCACAGCTGCAAATCTTCATCTCCCTCAAGTGCTTGGGATGGCATTGGTGCACCTGGAAGCACAAACCATGCTTAGCAATGCTGTACAGCAAAGGTAATTTGTATAAGTAACCCATGTCAGTGGTTTAAATAAAAGCTTTGAACATGCTACAATACCTAGCACACTTACTAACTGCAAAGTCTGAGAGCTGCACGGTCCAAGGAAGTCTGCTGCCCCGGGTGTTGTGGGGTTTGTCCAGTAGCTTCTGCCCTCTCTATGTCAACACAGCAAGAGGTTTCTTCACAAGTTCACAGCAGATATGAATGCTCACATCTCTTAGCAATAAACAGTGTGGAAGTTACACAGGTTTCACAGAGGGCCAGGCTAGCGTTACTCCATTCTCAGCAATAAGTATCCGGCAAGAAAATTTGCACAGCAGCTCTTGAATGCTAAGACCTGCTCAGGAAAACACATTGCAGCACCTACAACCTCGAGTTTTCTGAGAACTCACTCACCTCCAGTGTACTTATCACAAGTTGAGAATCTGGATCCTACCTCTTGCTTTCTTGTAGGTTACAATTAAAGAATTAAACACATGCTATGTAATGTACACTTGCATATGACTAATGCCTGTGATATGGACATGGTGTTTTTGAGAAGATGATAGACGGTACATGTGCAACTGGCTTTGTTTCCTCTGTTTGGCATATGTGACGTGGAAAAGCTCAGTCCCTTAGATGATTAAATGTGTTACTACTTGCAAGATGCTGCAGTGATGCTGTGCTTGGCTTGGGGGCAGCTCCTTTCTCCGTCTCTGCCCAGCCAGGCTGTAGACCTGGAAGTCACTGTCTCTGGGTCCCTTCCAACTAGAATATCCACCTTTCCACTTTGTTACTTTATCTGGCAGTATATTTCTAATAACAATGTAGAGTCTCTGCAAATAATAGAAATGAGCATCGCTGAATTGTGTGTAGACTAGACACCGCGCAAGCATATCTGTGAGGGGCTGTGTTGTAACTCAGCTAGGAGGGAGATTGGTGCTGGAGAAGGTGGTGCTTTATCTGTACAGTCCTAGCACTGCAGGACACCGTATGAAGTCACCTACTTTATCACCCTACCTGAAGTTGCTGCCCATGAACTGTGCCTAACCAGTTTATACACTGTTCTTAAAGACCTCATATTAATAGAGATTTTAGAACCTCCCAGTCTATCATTAGCCATGGTCACATTTTTTTCAAAGAATTGACCCAAATTAAACAAAAAAAAAGAAGTAAAGGTAGACTTAGCTAGAATGGCCAGATGAACAGGGTACGAATGACCATCATCTCCATTTGTTTTATGTGTACCACTAATAACAATAATTATGACATTAGTTAGTTCCAGGCTAAGGGGTAGATTTCAAAACCACATTTTGGTACTGGTATAGGCTTAAGGCGACTAATTATTCTAGATGCTTTTTTCCCCCCCTAAAAAAAAAAGCATTAGAGAGGCTCTTAATGCCACACTATGTAGAAGTGGGATACTTTTAAAATCTGAGATGTTCACATAACAAGAAAACTGCTTTCCAGTTAAAAATTTGCTTTGGAGGGTGTTTTAGTTGAAGGAAAAACACCAAATACATTAAAGTTACCACAATTCTCTTACTTTGTTTTCTATTCTTAAATTAATATATCCAAATTGGAGGACTGCCTGGGACTGGTATCCTGCTTGCAATGAGTGGAACTGGGCAACACTTCAAATTAACACACCTTCCCCATTAAACCTTTGCCTGCCTGTCTCCCAACACTGCTTCTGCCACTGCCTGGTTCCCAAGGCTTTCCAGGGGGAGCAGAAGAAATCCAATAGCCTGTAAAGCTGAGGGCAGCAAGCAAGAAAGCCTGAATATTACAGCTTGCCTTCCCTGCCCCTTCTCCTGGATCATAAATGTTTGAGCAGAAGAGATGCCATTATTTCACCAGCAACTAAGTTTCCTTAACCCTTCTCCCCTTACCAAAGCTCTTTTTTTCATGTGCAGTGCTACCTAAGACGATGTTCCCTCCAGTGCTAAGCAGTGTCCCTCCATTGCCCCAGCCAGAACAGTGCTGCAGTCCCCACAGGACTTCATTCATTTACACACAGACACAACAGCACATGTGGGGAAACGGTAAATTATTTTGTAATATACACAAATTAATGACAGGGAGGAGCGGAAAAGAAAAAAAAAAAAAAAAAAAAGGAAAAGTGCTATTGAGGAAAGCAACCCTATTCAAAAGGAACATGGAGGAGAAAATCCCCATGCAAAATTGACACTGTCCATTACACGTTTGTTCTCTTATCCTTAATTCTGCCAACTTCTAAAAACTCAACTTCTTCCAAGGCAGCAGCATGCCAGATGTACAGTTTCAGTCATATTTCGGCCCGGGATTCACTTCTTACATCTTCTCTTCCTTCAGCTGCTCTCCCTAGACAAGCTTCTGTCAATCATTTTTATACGAAAAATGGTGAAATACCATGTGCCACTGCCTTTCCTTGTTCTCCTTTTCCTTCCCTCTTCCACATCTCCAGAATTTATTTTTAACAGAATATTAAGTACATTGTACTTAGAGTTCTTTGATTCTTGATAATAAAAAAGACACAAATCAGAACAAAAACTCCTGATGAAAGCAACTCACACACATATAATACAAATAGTACTCCTTGCACAACAACTTATTTTACAGTGTTATTTCACAACGTATAAGTGCATCTGGATAATAATCGATCTGGAGTGAGAAAATAGAACAGAAAAGAGAGTATGTTTTGTTAAAAAGCCCATTATCTGTGCTTGTTTTACAAGCACTTCCTACCACAAAAATAGCAACCTTCAGGTGTAGGACAACATTTCAAATTAAATCAAGGTAATCAAGACCTATGCCTGAGGAACTCAGCAGCTCCGTCCTTTCCCACTTAACCCCCACCCCCAGGAATTCCTCATGCAATAAATATCGCTTCAGGTTGAACGAAGGGACTTTTAGAGAGTCCTAAATTTTCCCGTGAACCTGTGATACACCTCCTAAATTATATTTAAAACGAAATCGCTTTTAACAAAAGCTGCTGCCTCAAGTTGCTGGAGAGTGGTTTTGCCAGGACGGGGTAATTCTGCTGGGGTACACGAAGAAGCCCTCCCAAACCAGCCCCCAACACCGTGCCCAGCAGCTGCAGCCCCCTGCCCATCTTTGCCTCTCTCCCAAACCCGCGACTGACCCCAGCCCGGCCCGGCGGGGAGCTCGCTTTGAACCCACCCCCACCCCCCGGCTGGCAGGCTGCTGGGGTCATCCCCCCCCCCCCCCCCGTCCCCCCAAATAAAAAATAAAACAATTGCAAGGCTGGCAGTGCAGGGAGGGGTTGCGAGGGGGATGCTCCTCACCTTTGCAAGCAGATAGCGAGGAGGCGAGGAGGAGGAGGAGGAAGAGGAGCGGCGGGGACCCCGGCCGCGCCGCGCCGTCCCCTGCTCCCCCCCGGCGGCGCTGGGGGGGGGCTGGGGGGGGCGGCTGGTGCTGCTGGTGCTGGTGGCAGAGGCTTCCCATGCCCGCGGTGTCCCCTGCGCCGCCGCTCTTCTGGGCACGGCCTCGCCGCCGCCCCAAACTTTTTAAATCTCCCGGACACGTGGGCGAGCATCAGCCTGACAGCGGGGGGGGGGGCGCGGCAGCCGCCCTGCCCGCCCCCCCACCCCGCCAACACCCCCCCCCCCCCTCCCCGGGGACAGGCCCCTCGCCCCCCCCCCCCCCCCCCCCTCCACCGGGCAGCCCCGCTCCCACTCGAGGGGCAGATCCACTGGCAAGCCTCGCTGGGGAGGGTCTGGGCGGGCTCCGGGCCTTTTCTTAAATCCCCTCTTTAAGAAAAAAAAAACCCTCCACGTTATCAAAAACGTGGGTAAAACACCCTGAGCCCTGACAGCAGCCGTGATGGCTGGCGCACAAGGCGCCGCTTTCCCCCTTGCTCGGCAGGTCAGGGTGATTAAATGGGGGGGGGGGGGGGGGGGGGGGCAAAGGGGAGCGTTCTGACACTGACACTATCCCAGCCTGGCGTGGAGGGAAGAAGAGGCATGATTTAAAATGAGGACATCTCACACATATTTGCCCCCAGCCGTCTGAACCTGGGTGTTAAAACTCACTGAGCTTGAATGGGGGAGAAGACACGGGTGGCTGGGCTGGGGGTCCCTAGAGATGTGCACCCGTCTGCCCCCCGGGACCCATCGGCCGCTGAGTTTTCTGAAGGACCCCCTGCTGTAGGGGTGTGACTGATTCCTGACTTTCCCTATGCCTTAAATACACACGTACCGAATGCCGCACTGTGAAACAGAATTCAGCAATGTGGTGATATTTGGCGGTTGAAATCCTAACACTGTGCTTAGCAAGGCATTTTACCTAAGGTACAGCTGCAGGCCTTGTTCCCAGTGTCACTGATGCCTCTGGATAGACAAAGCAACTACATTATAAGATATTCAAAAGCACACAGAGCCCGAATCTGTGAAAACACCCAAGTGGGTGGTCCAGCCAGCCCTGAGACACGGCCAGGCCTGGGTTACCAGACCCGAATCTGCCCGTGCCCCCCGCTGCCCGAGCCAACAGCTCGTGCCCAGCCCCAGCAGGATGCTCGGGTGGGTGCTGACCTGCTCCTCACACCCAGCCCAGCAGCTGCAGGGTCTGGCTTTCTCCAAAAACACGGGTCTGACCCTCTCTGCTCCCTCACCAGGAAGATCCTGCCCAGCTGAGGTGCTGCTCCATCGCTGAGGTGCTACCGAGAGCGTTTCAGGGCAGCATCTCCCAATTTACAGTCTGTCTTTAGGATTTGTTTCCCCTTCTCTTTTTTTACTCTTATTTTTTTGCTTGATTTATTTACTCTTTTTTAACTCTTTTTTTTTTTTTTTTTGCTTGATTGCTTTTTTCTGACTTTCAAAGGAAATATTACATCATGGTCCAGCAAGGAGACAATGCTACAATACTAGAGATTGTTATTTTCCAAAACAACGTGCAATTCTTTCTGACCATTTCAGTGGGTTTTGACTGGGAGGGTGAATGGTGAGTGGTGAGTAAAGCTGCCTGACAAGAGCAGTGGCTGTTACTGTGAAACAAAAGATAAATCTGATTTACAACCATAGCATTGCAGCGTGCTCTTTGCCTTTACCCTTATCAGTTGTATGTTCTACAGATTGTGCTCTGCCACTCTGAACATTTTAACAGGCCATCAAAATTTTGAAAGCTTTGCCAAACAGCGTGCTAAGATGCTATGAAATTGTCTTAGTAATAGAAATATCTTCTCCATAAGATTCAGTAGCAAAGCTTCCCTTAAAATGATGGGGGACAGAGCTAATCCTTGTGTCAGTGGAAAGCCAGTTATTATACCAGTACATAAATTAAAGAAGCCTGTATTTTGTATGTCTTACTGTATTTATATCTACCTAATTAAAAGAGTTGTTTTAAAACAGTCCAAATTGAGAAATTGCATTTAGTTCTGGTTTCTGT